AACTGCCAACATATCCCCTGAATAGTACAATTTCTACTTAAAGATAACACTGTTTGATTTTCTTTGGTCAATGAACATAGACTTGTCTTCTTAAAAAGTATAAAAAGTACACCCAGGCTTTCTGACAAGGAGGACAAAATATTTTTCTTCCTAGACTCACAAGATGCTGGATTTTCTTGAGAGTACCGACAACATTTCCTTGTAGTTCTGACAAGACGCTATGTCCAACACTGCTTGTGTATCCCCTTCTGTTCCCACCTCTTCCCTGAAGCACTAGTGGTGGTCTTGCTGCATGTTTCACAGATGTTTCTTCCACTCAACTCCTCAGTTGTTTTTCAAATGGCTTCTTGCAGCAAATGATTCCATGTGTGCATGCTCCTTCCTTTCTGCTGACACCTTTTCTTTCTATAAAAACAATCTGCTGCTGCCTTTCAGATCTAGAGAGACACCATCCCATACCACAGATGCCGTTTTTTTTAGACTCTGGCATTGGTACACATGGTCAGCAGGCAATACCTCCCTCCTGTCTGTTCCTCATGACTAACAATGTTGATGTTTTGTTCTTTCAATCTTATTTCCCTCTGTTACCCTTACACACTGCATTTTTTTTTTCTTTTCCTGTTACTCTGCTTTCTTTGTACTAGTGGTCCATATGGGATCTCTTCATCTCTCACTACAGCTTGGAGGAAGAAAACCTCACACACTGCTTTAGCCCCAGTAACTACAGGCAACATGTATGCCAACTTTTTCTTGTGCTCAGGAACTGAAAAAAAAAAAATGAGCTTCACATTTTCTTTATACACCCACATGCAAGCAAAATTAAATTCACTTTCTACAGCTGCTCACAGTACTGGTTACTGACTGATTCTGAAGAGACATGCAGAGATCAGATGCTACCATTGAGTTGATTGCCTTTTTAGTTTGCATGTGATAAAAGTTGAGCTGAGATTGCCTAGTCATTTCCATTCTGAAAGGTGTTCTCATTTGCCTACAATAATCTATGCAATCAAAATTCTCCTTATCACGTCATGACTGACCAAAAGGGGACTGTGATCCAGCTTGCTCCAGCAATTTCTTGATATAAAGACAAATGAAAATACTCCCAAAACATCTTGCATCCTCCTTGCATTATCTGTGACCAAATTTATTTGAAATTGCTCTAGTACAACTGAAGAAATTGGCACAGTATTTTGCTGAATAAACCCAAGGTTTTGCCAAAAAAATTACTGAACTAGCACATATTACAGAATACATCACTGTCCACCTTTGTACATGTATGTACATTACACACACACACACATATATATATATATATCTCAGAGCTCTTTTATGAATATGGCAGCATTCACCTGGATAATTCCTTTTCTATTTTAATTACCTCTTATATTTTATATATAACAATACTTTAATGCTTCCTCCCAAAAAGTAATGTTGCATACAGACAGACCATTTCTAGGATTAGTACTGGAAAATACTATGCTCTTTCATTCTACAAAAGAATTAAAGCAGGTTATCCACTTAGTTTGCCTTTATTTTCCTAAAATTCTAGGTATGTTCTGAGAGAGAACTGACATGATCTTTACTTTGTCACTTGAAGTGGGTTTGGATTTGGAAGTAGATCAGTGATGGTCCATGACAATCATATCTATAAATGTAGGACAATTTTTGTTCTTTTTCAGATATATGTATCTCCAAAGAGATTCATGTACACTGTCAACAACATCAACAAATCTGCATTTCTTTCCTCCTCTTATTCTCACTCCAGGAACATTTGATTGACCATATTTTCACAACAAAAGAGTTCTTCAACAATATTAAGGTTATTTTTTTTATGTGAAGAATGGAAGCAATATTATATGATTTTCCTAAGTCACAAAAGGTAACGAGTCAGTGATAGGTACAGACTGTATTCAAATTTGTATTCTGCACTTCCAGCTCTGTGGACCAAACCATGTGACCTGGCAACATTAACACAAGCTGTCTTCATTTTATGCTGTAGTATTATTTAGGATTCATGTCTATCTTCTCAGATGTGAGATTGCTGAGCAGATAAAAGCTGCAGCTGATAGCACTTTAGGAATGGCATAGAAGATGCAGGAGTCATTGTGTCTTAGCCTGAATTTAGGAAAGTTTAAATAGTGCAGAATGTTTTGATTTTTTATGGGAAAACCATAGAAAGAAAAATGTATTTCTGCTTTTAATGGAGAGGGAGTGACACGTTAATAGCCGAATCAACACTGTCATTGCTCCCTTTCCTCTTTCAAGTGTAGCATGAGAGTTTCTCACACTATGCTGGGAAGATGTCCAGAAGCAGGAGAAATGCAGCCTCAAGGATTTTCCTTTCCTGTTTTTGTCAGTGCTAGGTGACAGCCTTCAGTGGATGGAAGACCAGTGGGTCCTGCGCACTCTTCCAACACCTGTTGAGGGTTAGGTTTCTTTCCTTTTGCTTCTTTTTACTTATGGATTTTTTTCCCCCCATAAGTTGTTAGAAGACACTAATGACTGGGTACTTAAGAAAAACAAGTGAAGTAGCTATGGTCAGAGGAGGAGGGCATCTGACTGCACTTCTCTTATCTGGGAGCTTCTATCCAAGGGGCAGAGACACCTCGAGAATTGGGCAGGTAAAGGATGGGGCTGGGGCATCTGCTGGCTCTGTCTCTCTTGGCTTGGGAAGACGATGGTCGGAGCTGCTCCTTGGGGAAGGGAATTTGCTGCTGCTGCCGGAGCCCAGCTCAGCGCTGCTTCTTCTGCTGCAGTGAACCTCAGCTTGGGTGAACAGCCACTGAACTGGGACCTTATTATCACCCACCTCAATAAAAGCAGGACCTATCCCCATCTCCTCAGGTGCCTGGGATCTTGGGTTTGCCCCTCTCTGCCCTGATGGGAGCCGGGCTGCCGTTATCCTGCGCCCCGTCTTTGGCGCTTCTCCGAGCTTTTGCTGCACTGTAGCCCCACACCTCCTGCCTACTGAGCCATCCTGCTGGCCGTTTGCTGCTCCCATCCCGAGAGTCCTGCTGGAACACCGGGATGCCCCAGCGGGGTTTGGGCAGTGAAGCCTCTCTGCCATCCCACACATCTGGGCCCAGCCGCCATCACCGCGTGTGGGCCCAGCCCGCGCCACAGCGCCCCCTGGCGGCCCGGCGGGATCCCCGCCCCCTGGCGGCCATGCCTGGAGCTGCAGCGGGGAGAGCGCCTGCGGGCCGGAGCGCTCCCGGGGCCTGCTCTGTGTGGTGTGAGGGCCGGAGGTGGTGTGTGCTTGCTGTCTTACACGTACCAGGAAAGAACTGTTATTCCTGTTCTCATTCTTTGCCTGAGAGCATCTTAATTTCAAATGATAATAATTTGGAAGGAGAGAGTTTACGTTTTCCATTCCAAGGGAGGCTCCTGCCTTCCCTAGCAGACACACATCTTTCAAACCAAGACAGCACCATTGCTGATATGTGCATTATGACACACGTATCACTTCACATTAGGCTTAGATCTTCCTTTGCCTAGAATCCCTTCAAAGTATTCAAAGCAACGGCATGAAAATTTGGGATTTGAAGGATGAACATTTCCATTCTAAGACTGCTGAGACTAAAAGTGTGTGTTTTTCTCACTTAGTTTTATTGTGTGCACATAAAAAGATATAGCACTACATATTTATCCTCGCCTTAACCACCATTATCTCTGTGATTCTGATAGCTTTTAGGAGCCTCTTCAAGAAACAACTTATGAAAAGCTCTGTAGAAATGTCATGCAACAAGCAGCCTCATCTGGCAAGAGACCAGTAGTAAAACGTTGTCCAGCTTAAGGCTACGTGTAAAAGTAAAAGCCTGGCCCAGTTTTTCCAGGCCCAGGATTTCCCTTGAGGTGATGAGCAGGTGGGAGATGCAAGGGGTATGCATGTGCTTTCAGAAGAGGGGAATAACAATAGCAATGAAAATAGACACAGTTAAAGCATAGTAAAAAAAATAGCAATGAAAAAAGAAGGGTCAGAGTAAAATGAACAGAACTGACAGAGTACTACTTGACTAGCCAAAGATATTTGTATCAATATATAAAATATGTAAATGAATCCACGAGTCGTAGGCAAACATTTGCAGCTGTGAAGGATGTTAAAATTTGTGTTTTATTCGATGGGATGAGAGAACAATGTGCAGAGAATAAAAACAATTGAGTTTCAAGAAGTGCTTTGGCAGCATTCAAACACTGGCAGTTGTCATCATCATAAGAAGAAAGAGAAAAAAGAGTTTTGCTTTTTTTTAATTTAGTTGGTTTTTTTTACAGAGAGCTCTGTTATACAAATGCATATTTTCCTACTAGCATCTTTCAGATCAAAAATGATGTTTCACAACATATGTAGATTTGTATTTTTATGGGTAATATAGTTTCCCTAATAACCTTTCCAAGTGAAAGATTCTGCCTGATTTAGAGAAAGAGACTATTTTTTGTAAATTTGATTAGACACCTAAACTCATCAGTCCGTCTCTGAGCCATACACCTGATTATGCAAAGGTATATGCAATACATTATGCGAAAGCTGTTTAACTGGGATTGTATCGTGGCTGTAACCAAAGTGGGTTTAGAGATAATGAGCTTGCATCCCCGAATACTTAGGATCGCAGTCTACTCTCTAAACTGATGATGCAGCAGCTGCATAATGCAACAATGTAATTTATTCATGTAATATGTACAATATTGCTGTAATAAAAAGCCCATTGGCGGTTCCTCTAATTCTCTGTATGAGCACCCTGTTATTAGTAGCTATGTAAGTCAGTATTTCAGTGTTTTCAAATTCTGGCTATTTCTAAGTTTCAAGTCACAATATTTTAAAAAGAGGGAAAAACCCCAAACGACCTGAACAGTTTCATATGGTGTGAATTGTGAATCTGCTCACGTTGAACTGAAACCTGCAGAATTTTTGATCAATGAAATCAGTAAACATAGCAGAAAAAAACCACCAACCCTACACATGTCAAAGTGATCCTAGTTACTGATTTTTTTATTTTTATCCACAGATGCTTGTCATGATGTGTATGAAAAGAAGTTAAGTTGGAACAAGGAGGAAAAAGAAGTATTTTGGGTTTTCATGAGAAAAATGTAAGTCCCCTGATCTTACCATCTTTTTCACTCAATTGCGAGTGTTGTTTATCATATGAATGTTTATATTGAATCTAGATTTCTCTAAAGTAAATTTTAATGGAAATGTATTAAGTTTCAACAAGAGCCTACATGTAAAGATAGTGAAGAAGAGCATTGCAACAGACTGCTTGGAAATTAATCTGCCAGTTTAACCCAGTAACCGACATGCATACTAAAACACTGATGTGAATTGAAAATAAAATAACCACGCTTGACAGATATAATAGTTTAAGTGATTTCAAATTAACCACATCCCACTGACCGCAAGTGAAAAATGTGTTCATTCTCCCGCAATGAAACATGCTCTAGGGACTCATTATACAGAGTGGAGTAAGTAAAACCAGAGTGGAGTAATTGATGCTGAGGAGGAGGGAAGAGTGACAGCTATTTAATGATTCTCAAACTTATACATAAAGATATCACAAGCACTTAATATATTATTTTTCTCTTTCCAATCCAGAAATATTATAGAGTTAAATCTATATTGTGCAGTAATTGCAACACTTGATATAGCTGTTAGGAATAATGAATCATGACAAAGATGCACCAGGCAGTGGATGAAAAGAGTGAATAACAAACAACCTTGTGACAACATGTGTACATGAATTATGGCTGCTCTGTTTCAGGAGAACAGGTGAGATGAAGGCAGGGCATATCTATTGTCCTAACTCTGCCCAAAATTGCTCTCCAAATGGCAAGAATTCCTTAAACAGTTTGAGCATCATGAAATCCAAATTGACATGATTTTCTCCCTTCTTTTCATGTACACTGAGGTCTTTGTTTGTTGACAGTGTGAAGAATAGAAGATATACATGATCTCTATCCCTGCCTGCTTCACAGGGAAGAGGAACAGGCACATATTCTATATAATCTTTATGCTCTATGGCAATATTGGTTTAACTCTCTAATCTTCTGTATGTCTGAATAACATCTAGCAGACAACACCATGCTCACAAACCCCAGGTTGTGAACAGCTGAGAAGTAACTACACAGTCAGCTAGCAGTTGATGTTCATCAATAGTTCTGCTGTGGCTGCTGGAACTAAAGGGTGTAGCATCTTCTGCTACAAAGCTAACAGAAGCAAACACATAAAAATCTCAATCCATTCACAACCTGAATTATTCTATGATTTTAGGGATAGCAGAAAGTCATTTGTACTACATATAATGAGGAACCACAGCACAGAAAAAATTTTAGAAAATTTTTGTCCTACCTTACTTTGTTACCTATGGGGTCATGACAAACTGTAAAACTTCATTAATGTGCCATTGCCACTCACTAACTCTACCCTTTTTACCTAATTTGGCCACCTTGTCCATGTGCTGTACAAGGCAATCTCTTCAGCAAACACTGTGTTTACAAAGATGGTGATTATATGGTATCTTATATCTGATTACAGAAAGAATATGACTGGTGTGGGAACCATCAAGAAAGGTTTTAACAGTATGAAGAGAAATTGTCCTAACTGTTCCTTAGAAGAGGAACAAGAAAGCATTTGTATTGTAGGTTTGTGGTGTGCCTGTCTGTGACACTCATGTGCAGTCTTTTGAGGCATCCTGGCTTTAGAAAGGTAAATTTTTGTGATTGGAGCTGGATGGGAATGCAGGGATCTGTCTGTGTAACTGCACTGTCAGGACTGTATAAAGACACTCCCTTATGAGGGCTGGGCTTCTGGGTTTTCTTATAGCAACTGACTGCTCTTGATACCTCCAAAGTTGAGTACAGGTTGCCAGCTGAGATCCACTTTTGACAAGAGAGTTCTCTCTTTCCTGGCCTGTGAATTGAGTGACCCTTGAGGGTTTAAGGAACTATCTAAAAAGGACAATAGCCAAAAAAATGTTTACCAAGTGCAGCAGACTCCTTAAGGTCTTGATTTTTCCATCGTCTGAATATCATACAATGCTCGCTTGTTGTTATTTCCTTATTCAAAGATAGCATCACCGTAATGGTATCCCCACTCTCCATCAAGTTTAGATTTATTCCAAGACTGATTCAGTGGGAATAGCGCCAGTCATTTTAGGCATTGTCTATTTTGGGATATTAGCAAGTGGAATGCATTTTTATAATGGGGAGTTTATACCTTCTCTAACTTATGAGCTGCCTAGATGGATTAAACTATCACTATAAAAGGACCAAATCTCCTGCTAACACTTTGTTTCCCTCCCATGTTCCTAATCAGGAAATTTAAGGAATGCTCTGTTTGGAAGAATCTCATGTTGTGGTGTGTTCCTGCAACTTGGATATCTTTCACAGGAGTGCTTATGAGACCTGGGCATATGTGTGCTGCTGTGAACAGAGTGCTACCATGTGGGAGACTGATCCTTCATTGAGGACTTACAGCTCTCTTAGCTACCAAAATAAAAACCCAAACCAAAATAAGAATAAAAAGAAAGAAAAGTGTGCATGTGGGAATAGTTCCAGTCTCCAGAATAAACTTACAATGAAGGATGGTTTCTTTACCATCCCCTGGCTGTGGTGTTCTGCAAGTTTCTTGCCTTAAATATCTTTTATGATTTATCAAGAAGAAAAACAAACATGTTTTAGGCATATGTCCAATGGTGATGGACTTATTCTATTGTACAGATATTAACTTTGTGCCAAAGTCACTTTCCTAAAAGTCACAAAGACAGGACAGTTTTCTTTATTTTTAGAAATCACAATTATTTTATTTTTTTTTTTATTAGAGAAAGCTGCAGTCATAAACCAGCAAAATAATTAAACAGATTACAAATAATCCTTATAAGTATCATTTAATTCAGCTTGAAAAATGTGGTGCAAGTTGATAGATTATACTGAAGGTAAACACAGGCATGACTGCTCAGGATGGAAGAGTTTTCATAAAGATAACTTCAAAACAGTCAAACAGAAGCAAAATGGGAGGAAACTGAGTTCTAGTAATTGACTCTGCTTAAAACCTCAGGTCAGGTTTTGGTCTCTCTGCCTCAAACCTTGCTTAGCAATCTTTTGCAGCAGAAATCAGAAGTGATGAAATGAAGCCACAAATAATGGATTGTGTAACTCTTATCAGTATCCCTGTCTGTGAAATGCAGCTCTCTCATGCATGTTTTCAGCCCTTTTATAAAGTCTTTTCATTCAGCAATTACTACCCAGCCGCATGCCTAGCTGGGGAAGGGAGTTCAGAACACAGATGCTGCACCTGACAGAGGGGCTATGGGCAAAAATCTTCATTATACACCAAGGAGATTCTCATCTTCTTTACATTTGACCCATTCTGAGCAACACTACAGAAGACCCAATGCATTTGGACATGAATTTGGATGTGAATGTAACACTGCAAACAAATCAGTCCATTATAACAGCATATTATAGAGGCACCATCTGTGCCTGCGTTTGCAGGTAGAACAAATTAAATTTTCCAAATTTAAAAAAGCCCTACCACACCATAAACCACAAAATAAAAAAAAAACCCACAACCCCTCCTTAGTTAGGATTAAGGCTCTACTCCAGTTCCCTCTCATTATTTGCCCATTCCACCAGTGTTGCACACCTTTAGGCCAAACATGAGTTGTGATAGGCTGTCATGCCGTTCGGGTATTATAGATGAAATCCTTCCAGAAGCAGCATCTGGCTCGATTTGTAAGCTCTGCAGTCATTTGTAGTGATGGGGTTACATGTGCCCTAGGCTTTGTCAGATGGTTTGGCTGCTTTTTTCCAGGTTGTTTTTTTTTTTTTTAATTGTTATTAGTTGTTGATGGTGAGGAATTCATACCCTGCAATATATGCTCAACTCACCGGCAATTTGCATGTTCAAGTAAAAAGATGCCTCATTTATAATGAAAGCATTTTAAAACCCAGCCACTTGCATGTTTTAGATGTGTTAGTATTAGGTATAAAACTATTTCTTTTTCTCCAGTGGTTTACTTCTGAGAAAGCTGTTGCCTGGTTGCCTAAAAGATAGTGGTGGGAATGACCTTCCTGGATATCTTATTGGTCTGTACCTGTAATACAGGGAAATTTCTTGAGGACTGTAGATATGATCAACATATCCCCAACCGTATTTTTTCTCTCACATTCTTTTTGTCACCATGTTCAGTCCTGAAAGTAAATAAGGCAAATTCCCAAATAGCATGTAATGTGTTAGACCAAATGCCTAATTAGTGTGTGCTCTCTTTTTACTTTGGAATCTTAGTGTTATAAAGGGCCTTGCCTGCCTTGTTGAAAGGCTTAATTTAGATAATTGTTATACCTCAGTGTGGTATCAGGTAGCATACCACAATGTGTTAGCTGTCCAAATAGCTTACAGCTGCTTTTACTAAATATAAAAATTAAAATGCAGGGTACAGTATGAAGTTTGTGAAGCATGATAAAAACAGTGGTTCCTAGGAATTTATTTAAAATATTATTTTCAAAGTTTAGAGGCAATCAGAGGAGAAGGATTCAAGGACAGTGGGACTAATGTAGGTGTGTGGAAAAGAGGACAGAAAAAATTAAACATTTACTGGTACCCAGAGAAATAATCCCATACTGCAAAACTTTGCTTATATACCATTCTTCAAATTCCTGATCTATCTTTTACTGTATCTTTTCCCCTCACTTGTGCTAATTTTGGTCTGGTCTCTGAAAAGATGTCATTCACATATGAATTAAATAAATATTGAACAAACAAGGATGTTGATAATTACATGCTTCTTCTACTTCCTTCTGTCATCATGTCAGGTGACAAGAAGACTATAATGAAAATTAGTTGATGTAAAGCACAAAGTAAAGAGCATCAACATAAAGTGAAACTGGTGAATAAACCCTCTATGTCAGCATGATGTTTGTTTGTGGAAACTATATATTTTTGAACACCAGTGAAAGAACAAATTAAAATAATTCAAACTTGATTGCTGAACCAAGAAAAGGGTTAAAGTCACTCTCTTTACTGCTTAGGATTCAGCTATATCCACTCAAAAATTGTGTTGAATTTTTGTAAGGAGTGTGTTACTCATGTAGAGTTTTCAGGCAATGACTCCAAGAAACTTTGGAGGCTGCTTTAAACAACTTACAAACTGGTTTTGACAAGGGTAATCAATGAATTAAATTTTGCTTCTCATTCTTCAGGATTTGGAGCACTACCTGCAAGTGCTCTCAGAGGCCGCTTGAAGAAAGAAGAAAGGATTGGGGTAAAGATTTTCATGGAGATTTTTATTTTCACATGATCAATCGTCCAACTGAAGCAATGCATGGTACAGAGGTGTGGGAAACATGGCATGCAACCTTACATAGACTAAGATAAGTTTCCATATTTGTTAAATTTGTTAAGCTTGTTATGTTTGTTAATTTTTTACAAATACACTCAATTTTAAAAATTATTGGTTTGTAAATAATTTTTAATCAGAAATCAGAATATGGAATCAGACTGAATCTTTTGAAAAACATTATCTGTTGTAACCAGCACGTTCAACTGCAGTCATAATTCATGTCATTCAACTGCTGCAACTTATTCTTCTAGTTTTTCTAGCATATGGATTTAACCCCTATGCGTAAGTTTTCACAATCAGTCAAGGTTAAATTCATCTTTGATGTAAAACAGTTTTTTCAATGAAGTGTTAAAATTTGCTAGATCTTTAATGTGATTAATTATGAAATCTGAAGTTTTGATAATTTTTTCATCATCAGCACTGATCTAAAAGTAGGGTTTTTTTAAGTCTCCATCTCTGAATACTTTGGCCTTACATTTTCTTTTGAAATATTTCATTTAATGCACACAATGTCTTGAAGGCTGCTGTCTTATTCTCTACATGGCTGAAGAATTTTCAGGTTTGCTGAACTTAAAATCAAACTTGTGCTGTACCATGACACTGATTTATCTTATTTTGTCTGGCTTGGCATCTCACATCAGATCTGTACTTTAGGAAAAGAGACACATAACACAACTTAAAGTTTGCTTCAATCAAAGTATGAATTTCTGCAGTGATGGCTTTGGAACACTTCTAGTTACTCTGTTTTTATTTCAGTACTTTGATAAATAGTGCCATAACTCTTCCTTCTTTTACTTCATCTGAATTTGTGCATCAAAAATGATCTCAAATGATAAGGTCTCTCAGGCAGATAAACCCAGCCCTTCCAATCTAGGAATAAAAATCTTTTTTGCCTTTTAAGGTTTGTTTTTTCTAAAATTAAAATGGTCTCAAGTTGTGGTCTGGGGTTGCCTAGATATTTACTGCCCATGTGTATCCGTGTAGCTTGTTCACATAACCAAAATAGTTATTTTTGTCTTCACAAATAGAGCTCATAAAAATACCTATTTGTGAAGTCAGGCCTTTTTATAAGTGAACTAATGAGTTATTCTCATCAAGTAACAATTTACTGCAGTTAGGCGGATTGGAAAGGAGATAGAGCGGGTAAGGAAATGACAGCAGAAGGTTCTATTATGTAGTTTTAACTTTCCAGAAGACTGCCAAGATAGATGGACAGGAAAATGGGGGAGAAAGGAAGAGAGAACTGAAGGCAGAGAAAAGCTAATGAGAACCAGTGTTAAAGAAATAGTAGTACCCTGGTGTCAGTGAGGGAACACTTTGGAGCTCCACTGAGGGCAGTCACCTGTAAAACTCCCAGCAGGGACAGACCCAGGGAGATGGGTTATTGGGCTGTTAGCACTGAGCATAAAAGTCCCACAGGACAACTCTGCTCATGCTCATATCCTTGTACCCCCTGGGCTCATTTCAGCTAACTGGTGGTATTTGATTAACAACAGAGAAACAGGACAGAAAGAGTCCAACATTTAAACAGAAATTTTGCCCTTTATCTTGGTATAAGTTAGTGGTTTATAAATGGATGTCTTTGACTTTTCTGCAACTTGTTCCATGTGGGAAAGAATAATGGCTGAACAGAATTTTCTTTTTTATATGAAGAAAATGATCAGGAAAGTTGAACATAATGATTTCATGCCGTGACTATAATGCAAACACATACTTAACCGTCATTGTCTCCTCTTCATATAATAACTGAAAACATCTGTATTGTGCACTGAAACATTATACGCTGCATTACAATTAGAAATGTGCTGAAGTGTTGGATTGGGTGTTTATTTATGGGCCATGAAAAGTAAGATTTTCTGCGCTTCTCATGTACAGCTAAATAGCCATAGGTAGAGTACTGAAAATTTTGGAACCCAGCAGTCACTGTGGGAATGACTTCATTATTCACCGAAGGAGGTTTTTCCAGCAGAGCTGAGTTGCTGACAAACAATAATAAACATTACTGAAAGTTGGAAACAAGAACTCAGGCATGTTGATTCTGACTGTAAAAAATGCTCACGGGGCGTGGAGGGCAAGGCGCTCTCAAAATGACAAGGTACTACAATAGAGGGATCCCATTAGAGCTATGCACATACATTTCCTCTATTGACACAGAAGTGTTCTGACAGGCTCAGCAAACAAGCAGCTTCTCCTAGCTGCCTAGCCTTTACCTGTTGCCACAAGTAGTCTAGAAACAGAAATGTATTTTTAATGGGCACACAAATGTTTCAATGATGAAATATGCTCTGGTGGGGACAAAGCAAATGTCTTCTTGGTGTAGCTTCTGAGAGCTTTTTTAGCATAAAAGACATCACTATGTCTTTTGCTGAAGCACTTGACAGTTCATGACCATAGCACAAAATATTATTTGAGATTAATTATGTAATATTTGCTTTGTCTGACTGGTATTTTACTGGTATTTGAAACGAAATGATTGCTTAAAAAAGCTCACTCCACACTTAATTAATTTTGTAAATATCTACTAAGTGTCTTCCAACCTAAGCAGATACAAAATGCTCAGTATAGTTTTCTCTGGAGCTTTGTTTTTTCTCTCTCCTCTGACTCCGGCTCAAAGTTTAAAGCGTAAAGTCCTGGCCTGTGCTTGTGATGGTGGTGTTCACAAAGAAGGACACAAAGAGTTTATGGAGCCAGTTTCTCACTGAGCAGCAGAACAAGGAAAACCTATGCCAGCTGGGGATTTAGGCTGTCATTGTTACATTATCCTTTCAAATGTATTTACAAGAAGGAATGAATTTTACCGATTGAGGCCTGAACTAAATGTAATTTAATTCATGGCTGGAGCAATTTGAATGGCTCACATTTTCTCTGGCCATTGAATATGTCAGTTATTTACTGTCTCAGGTTTGAGTGCCTTTGGCTCTGCCAGAAATTGTTGGTTGACTTTCAAAGTGGATCCAGATTTCTCTCAGAGAGGTCAACAGACATGCAGGACTTCTGGAAGTGGCCCAGTTAAACATGCATCATTTGCACTGATTTTCCACATGATTATCTCAAATAGCCATGGAAAGGCACAGTTATCAATCAAGAGGCTGAAGGATTCAGGTCTGTACAATAGAGAAAGCTGAAGACAGGAAGAGAAAGCTCATTTTTCTTTGCTTTCCCAGTGTTTACTGGGATCATAGTTATGATGGCAAACTGAGTGTAGCTGTGAAGTAAGGCTGATTCTGTCCTTCTTTATAATGAGAAACCAAAGGGTTTTCAGCCTGTAATGCTGGATTTTTTTGAACACAAGGTAGAAGAAATTAATTTTATACCAGAGGAATTCAGATCAGCTGTCTGAAGTTAAAATAACAATTGTTAAAACAACTTAACAGTTGAAAAACTGTTGTTTGCCACTACTTTAGTGAGCTGTCCTCTTCCTCACTGCTCCCTAAGATAATGCTGAAAAGATGATCCAGAACAGTAAATACACTGAAACTGGATGGCAAACATGTGATCATCCTTCATAATTTGTGCTCTCATCTCATGCTGATGGCTGGTTTGAACTAGAAGAGGTGGCAGAAGCATTTTTTTTCCCAAAATATGTTGCTCATGTTTGTTATCACTTACCTACATGTAATGAAGAAAGTAAGCCAGACTGCAGAGCCTTAGCAGTAGATGAAGACCTGAAGGGACCTTCCTTCTCTATTCTGGATAGTCTGGAAAACAAGTCCCAGGCTGAAGTGCAGACTTGCATGATTCTAATATCAATGCCTCGCTAACAGTACAGCCCTACAGCTTCAGGAGACTCATTACTGCTAATAAATCTGTTATAACTGGCTCATATTCCATCCAGACACACCATGGTTGTTCTCTGGAAGCCACTCTGTAGTAAATGTGGGAGTGGTGGAAGCTCCTTGTCCTTCCAGGGGGAAGCTCCTTTCCTGTGGTCACTTAAAATATTGGGAGTTCTGTAGAAAAGTGAGAAGATGAATACACATTTTCTCAAAGACAATGCTGAGTGATGTTTCTGTCTGCTGTTCTTCCTGCCAGGACTTCAGAGAAGATCCAACAGACTGATGGGAGCAGCAGTTCCTCTAAACATACTTCCTTTCTTGCAGATGCCTACCTAGATCCCTACTTATAATGGTATATATATCTGTCAAGCTCAGGTCTGCCTTCAATGGACTCCTTTTTTGTCCCCTTTTCACAGCAGGGAAAAACTCCAGCTTCCTGATTGTTCAACAAGGAAGGTGTAGGTAAATTGCTGAAAATTGACCTGGAAGTTACAGGTTTACTCTATCTTTAGTGATTTAGTGTTTGAGATATTTAATAATATCTTGAAAACTTCAACTAGAGCTGAAAAATGGAATTTTCATGTCAGTAAAGGATTACACTGATTTAGCTGAGCCTGATTTATGTGAGAGGCACAAAAGTTAAAGATGTCATCATTACAGTTTTTGTCACTCTGTGAGAAACATCCTTCTTTTTCCCATTACTGGAGAGAATCAAGGGGTTATTTGGCTCTCCAGAATATTATTATACAAAACATAAAAGTAGATTCTGATCATGTATATTCAACCCATGTATTCACAGGAACCAGATTGTACAAACCCCATAGCTTAATTGGTAGTCTTAATTATCTAGTTCACATCAGTCTAATTTATGTAACAAAACCAAGCTGCTCCATAATTCCCTGCTAGTATGGGATAGAATAACTCCATCAAACTCAACAGACCTACGTCAGCATATGCCAGTAGGGAATTTAGCCTTCATATTCCAAGGAGCAATATGGCACATGATTCACTTTGGTCACATTTTTCCCAAGGTCTTATGTAAAATAAATTTATTTTTAGTTCAGAAGAGAAATGTTTGTACAGACAAAATTGCATGTTTGTACAGACATTCCTAGAGATCCAGAAATTATCTTTTTGTCTTCAAGAAGTAAAATAAAAACCAAACATCCTCAAAAGAGAAAACAAAAGGGCAATTGCTGGGCTTGATCCGGCATCATATTGGATGCTTTTGTGTTGATGCAGCTGTTCCAGTGTCTTCAGCTACTGGTGATGGACCAGAATGAAGTAAAAGTCAGTGGGCAAATTTTGGTTATTCTAAAATCTCATTTTAGTGTATGGAAAGAAAATTTCAAAGACAACAAATTCAGAGAAGCTGGTTAAGACAGATTTTTATGTAAGACTTTTAACACTGAAGTTGTTCAGTTTTGTGTTAAATTGAGGGAGCTCCTTGGCAGGTTTTGGAAAAAGCTTTCATTGATCCAGTGAACTGAAGATCTACAGAACAAACAGTTAAGAAACATTAAAGATTTGGATTATTGCTTGTCACTTTTTTTTTTTTGAGGAGGCTTTGGAATTTCTGTGAAAGATTATGAGCTATAAATTAGTTCACACAAAAGTATTCCTGAAACTTCTGTGTCAGGTTCTCAGAAAGTGCTCAAGACCATGATATTTTTGAAGTAATTATTATTGATGCAGCTAATGATCCTGAAATGAAAAACTGTCAATAGTGAAAGGCAAGTTTGCAAGAGAAATATCCATATAATTTCAAGATCAGACTGTACAAAAACATTTAAAAATATATATCCATGGTTTTCTCCCTCTAGCTTGATGTGAAGATTCAATTCTAATTTTGTTTTGTCTTAAAGTTCATGCTTTAAAAGTAAGGAGTTTTTGATAAATAAATTTCAAGGGAAATAAAACTTGTAGATTGAAAAGCTTTGGTAAAATTTGTAATTAATTACTATTGTGTTTTGTATAAAAATTTGTAATTAATTACTATTGTGTTTTGGATAACTAGTTTTATTATTCTTGGAAGTACAGGGCAGGTTCCATTTTTTTTATTATCTTAGAAATATAATAGTCACTATTTATGAACTTATCTGTGACAGGTTGTTCCTTCCTATAAATGTTTGCAAACTTTTCACTTTTTACCCTAATTCTAGAGAAACTGCATGTTATATTTTACAAAGAAAAGAAGTACAGAAAAAAAAATTATGGTCAGCATTTCATTATGCTGGTCAGATAGCGATGCTAGGTATCATGAAAAATAGCAGGCAGTACTTTCTTTGATGTCTAGAAAACAGAAATAGCTTCCAAGGCTTAGAATGCACCAGCTGAAAACACAAGTGCCTACCCACAGGCAATTACTGCACATTCAGAGTGGCAGTTTAGCATTCTGTATTATTAAATAACTCTCTGAAAACCTAATTTGCAGGGCAGTTTTATGATGTGAAGGGGAGAGGAAGAAGGTTAGGATAAAACTTAGCTTCATCCAAGCCACTGGTGGCTGTGGTTTTCAATACTCATAAATATCTAGACAAGAAGCTTTCGCCTCCGCAGACGCCCACGGTTAATGTGCACAGTGTCACGGCGGTCACGGGGCTGAACTCCAGCCCATTAGGGCACTAATTTGATCTCTGGCACACCCTTATTATAACCACCACAATGACTATGCCTCTGTCAGGAAGCTTCTACACCTTATTTCCCATCTGATGTGAAGCTCAAGAAAAATCCCTTAAAAACATTCTTTAATCTATTGCATATAAACCAGCTTGTAATACCCCAATAAGCCCCAAATTAATGCTAATTTAATAATATTTCGTACTGCTAAGAAAGCCATGTTAACTCTGGTGATGTGTCAAGGAATAAAATGCATTTATCTGTATTTTTATCTATTGAAGATCACTTAAGTGTTCTTTTCTCTTACCATTGGTATGCATAGCATAATTATGGGCACAATAATAGTTCAGAAGAAAGGAAAGAACCCCAGAAGTATTGATGAAAATGAAATAGAGAACTTCAAAATAGAGAGGGGAAAAAAACACAGTGGAAAAACCTGCTGTCTCTCCTTCACAGTAAAACCCAAATAGTTACATTCAAGAAATATTATTTCTCCAAGATGACTGTGAAGGAACCAACAGAAAGCACATCCCAAGGAAAACTGGATGCAAGATGTGGGAATAAAGACTGCAGGATTCTTTCCATCACAACTTCTTGCTCTGTCAAAAGTTGCTTTTTTCATATTATTAAGTGGTATGATCTGCCAAGCTACAGGAGGCCTGGGAAGCTGGGGAGGGGTGGGAAATGTATCTCCTACAAGTAAGTCACTGTTTCCTTTAAAAGTGGTATCAGATCTATGGAAAGAGCAGCTGTAGGAGTACTCTTAGAAAGAACATAAAAGAAGAGTAAAGAGATATTCTGTACAATGTAATTGAGAACTGAGTGGGGAAAAATGGTAGTTCATAAGAGGAAATCAAGAGAAAAAATGAAAAAAAACATATGAAAAAGTACTGAAGGAAGGAAAAAAAGAAATCATTTTATTTATTACGCTTCTTCAAATATTTTGTGTATGTAGATGACCAGTCCTAGCAAACATATGATATTGCACCTGCTCAGAATACACATCAGACATTATTACAAAAGGAAAATTTGGTGGATGTGGTGTCACGTGGCTGAGAAAGATAAAAACCATCTCACTGGGAGACAGGAGACAGCCAAAAATCCCCGAGATGTGTTTGCTGCTATTGCATTTTAGCTCTCCTTATTGCAGCGCAGGTTGATGACAACCCAAATGAACAGCTCTGGCATAATGCCACAATTCAGAGGAAAGCCTGATAGTTGGAGGCACGCTAAAAACACTGGGCTCGATTCCACACTCTGTCAGAACAGCACTTGGACGGGTGGAGCTGTGGGTTTCCCAAGGCTGCTCGTGGATCCAGGATTCGGTGCTTCATACATGTGGCTTTAATCCACAGCATTGGCATGAGATGCTGCAGTGACCTCATGGCTGTCAAATGCCCACCATAACAGAGCTTCCCCCATCCCAAATTGGCCTGGCAACCTCTTTTTCTCGTAACATCAGGGACAAAGAGCAGGGTGGCAGCTGAGTACCTCACACAGGAGAAACCTCCAGCTGGGGTTAACCTTTGCTATACAGTGGTCAGAGTCAATCATAGGGTGAAAAATGTTCACAGCAAAGCAGGGAATCTTATCCTTTGTGCTGTATAAAGGACTCTTGTCCAGTCATACATTTACTTACATACCTGTTATAAATCTTTCTGCATGTGTATTCATGAATGAAAAAAATGGCAAGGTTTGTATTCCACACAAATAAACATTAACTGTTTATATAACATAACTATATCATGACCCTCCTCCTACCCCCCCTGCCCCCCCAGTTCCCCCACTACCTTTGAGAATAAAGTAATTTTATGCATTCTCTCCTATCCTGGGAATGAAAAAGTAAATGCTGTATTACCCCAACTTAGGTAACCCTTAGGATAATTTTTTAAGCAGCAGGAAGCTAGGCTATCTGGCTGGGTAGATAATGATATCAGCTGCTTCCTTCCAAAACAACAGGTGCTTTGGCATAAAACTGTATATCATCATACTGAGATGATGACATCAGTTCATACTTCAGCTTAATTATAAACTACCTCCATTAATCCTCAAATAATTAAACATTTTGTGTATGGTGCAAGGTGAAATATAAAAGCAAAAGGTGCCTAGCTGTTCATCACAGGGTTAAAATGGCATTTTCTTAATCGTTTGTACTTGTGTCTGCCTATTTTAATGTAAACTTCAAGCTGATTTTAAGCACTTGTTTATATTCTAATGTTCCAGCTATGAAGTAGGTAAAAATAAATACTGCGAAAATTCAAAGGAAACTTGATGAAATAACAAAGATATATTGATTGGAGTCACATGGAATATATATGTGCATAAATATCATGCAGAAAAAAACAAAGATGTGAGGGATCAGGCTTTGCATGTACAAGAATAATTGGGAGATAAGTCATGGTTCATGGCCCAATAGCAGAATAAACATTGCAGCATTCTGTGTTTGCAGATTTTATGGAAGAGGATCTTAGACTCACATTCAGAGGCAGCACATCTAAATAAAACAAGCCCTGGATAAGCAAGCACCATTTATTGAAACAGATTGATTGAACTTTGTGAAAAAAGAAGCATTAATGAAAGCAATATTAACATAATTTAATTTATTTTTTAAATAATATTTTTTAAATAATTTGAAAACTATACATTCTTTCCTTGCATTTTCACAGTGTCTATGTACATGTTCATCATTGTTTCAAAACTCAACAACAGATTGCTCAATTTTTGACTTGATGTGAAAATTAGTAGACAGAATAGATTGAGAGCTGAATTTGTAGGCTAAAAGAGCAGAGGAGCACAGCAGATAAAAGATTATGTTCTTCTGCCTTTAAAATATAGCACTGACCTTCTTTAAAACAGATGCTACCTTCAGGAGCCAGATGTGTTTCCAAGCAAATTAGTTATAAGAAATACATCCAAGGGCATAGCCATTTAAGAATCAATAAATTATGCATTTGTCATTTGTTATTGTTGAGGCTTATGCTGACATCTTTGACATGAACAAAAGTCTCTGTCCACAGTAATAGCATTAACAATTTAACAGAGGTGTTTTTATACCAAAAGAGAAGTGGTTTGAAGAAATTACTGTTTATCACCATGTACATATACACACCTTAATTATTCATTGCATGTCCACTTACCAGCCTACTTCCTGTTATGTAAGTTGTGCTAGATTAAAAAGTTAGAGGTTGGGCACAAGTGCTGTGCTATTTCTACCCACTTCAACCTGAAACAAAGACAATGACACTAACAATTTGTTTATATCAAAACAACCAATTCAAAAATTTTGTTTATTGGTGGCACATTACAAAAAATTCCTACCAAGGAGAATTTTATTTTTCTAAAAGCAAAAGCCATGGTGGAATTTTTTTTTTTGTGGGTTTAGTTGAAACATTTGGATGACCATATGGAACTCTTAGTGGTGCCATGGGACCATGCAGCTATGAAATCTGATCACTATCTCCCTAGTGACAGCTGGAGCCTTTACACCATCAGAAAATTTTCAGACTTCTAATTTGTCATAACTACCTCCTGTGGAAAGAAAATATGTTATGTAGTTAGATATGAGAATCTGAGTCTACAGTACTACAAATATCGGCTTCTCTTCCTTTTAGCCTTTAAGCCTTAAATTAATTCCTTGCATCTTATGATTCATTGATTCAAGAAACAAAAAACACATAAAAAGAGTTAAAAAAAAAATAGGGTCATGTGAAATGGGGCTTACCTCTGCTGTATAGTTATAGTGAAGAATAACTTATTTTGAAAAACCTACTTATGTAACAAATGTTGATCCATGCATTTCAAAGTTTCATTATATTTAAGCCTTCTCTTCAGTTTTACTCTGTTTAGCAAATTAAAGGGTAGCTTTGCAATGGTTTCCATTTTTTTTTTTAAAATTTTTAATATATGCTTTCTTTCATTGTCACATCAGGCCTGAAAGGAAACAAAATTCAGAGTCACTTTTATTAGAGGAACTCACAGGAGAAGGGGATGAGGTCTCCCTGCCCACTGCAATTACACACAGGAGAGAAAAAAGCTCTCAGCTGTCCCCAGAAAACAAATATCCTTTTGACACTCAGAAATATAGGTGTCCACCAGGCAGTCACTTTTGAAAATAATGGGAAATGCGCTCATCTATCTCTATCTATGGGGTAAATCCAGCAGAGCTGAGAACCATGTCCCCATGTTTGTTTGTTATATAGCCTTGGCTTGGTTTTTGGTCTCCCAGGGCACTGTTAGAAGTTTGTGAGTCATAGCTCAGTGACTGTGAGCAGGATAAAAATGTAAACATATGTTATCA